CCCTTGTAGCCATCCTTCTACTCAGTGTTTCTATGAATTTATTTTTTTTCTTCCTATAGTCCATATTTGTGATATCATACACTTTGACTTTCCCTGTCTGGCTAATTTTACTTAGCATAACGCCCTCCAGGGATATGCATGTTGTCACAAATCTGCTTAGTCTTTGAAGGGTAGTTTTGCCAGGTATGTAGTTCATGGTTAAGATTTCATGTCTTTCCATACTTAAAAATATTTTTGTAAAATTTGGTGAAAGGTCAAACTAGTTTGCAAAGAGCCCCAAAACAACAAATGATGCACTTTTCTTGGAAAACAGCAGTAGCCAACACATTACCTCAGTATGTTGCTGTACTCGTCCAAGTTTCGGTGGGTTTGAAATGATACTTATGAGCGATTGCACTCTTAATCTAAATTTATCAATACTCTTATTGAAAATATAGTGGAAGCTTTTTCTAATTCAGATTTTTATTTTCAACTATATTTAGCTACAACTGTAGTTATAATAAATGGTAAGAAAAATTCTGTATTCTCATTACCCAAATTTTCCCATTCACATGAACTTGCAAAATGGTAGAAATTTATCACCATTGAGATAAATGACATGACACCCTCCAGGTATTGTTGCGATATCCCCACTTTCACTTGTGTTAATGTGTGTATTTAGTTCTGTACAAGTTTATCACATGTCCTCTACCACAGGCAAGATCCCAAACAGTTCCTTCAGCACCATCATCCCTGATATTGCTTTTTTATTAAAAAAAACAACAACTTACCTACCTGTGGATAAAATTTCCTACCAACTCCTTTTTTCTGGCCTGACTCTAGCTGCCGGTAACAATAAATCTGTTTCCAAGATTTATAATTTCTCTCTTTATCAGTATTATATAAATGGGATCCTGTGGTGTTTAAGATGGGCTTCTTTCCTTAAGTGTAATTCCCTGTGTATCATTTGTTCCTTCTTTTTTATTGTTGAAGAGTATTTCATGGTGTGGATGTTCCATTGTATATTAATCTCTTCACCTTTTCAAAGCCTCTGGGTTTCCTGTTTTTAGCTGTTAGTGGTAAAGCTGCTAATAATACCGTTTAAAATTTTTAATCTTGCTTCATTTCATTTATTTTACACTTTCACACAGTTTTCATTTTTCTGTGATAAGTGAACAACAATGCAATTTTTGGTCCTTTGGTGATGTCATCCTTGTTTTTATATTAGAAACTGACACGCTACTTTCAAGTATGGTTTTATAATTTTCCATTCATACCAACAATGTATGAGTGGACCAGTTTCTCTGTATACATATTTGTATGCTTTTCTATGTTCTTTGTCCTTCTTGATGCTCTGTAATATTTTTCTATTGGATCTTTCTGTTTTAAGATGTTCCTTTAGCTATTTTAAAACATGAATCAGTTAGTCACAAATACTTCGGTTTTTCTTTTGTCTATAAACATCTTTATTTTGGCTTTATTACTAAAGGATAGTTTCATTGGCTATAAAATACGTGGTTTCAGATTCTTCTTATGTTATTTGCATAATGTTTACTTTATAGAAGTGAACAAAGCACATACCAATGTGGAAAATAACACTCAGATGATGAGAAACGCACAGATCTTGGGAAATAACACTGATGGACGACATATTCCACGAGTCCTCACCCTGCCTGGCTTTGGTGAGTTTGAAAGGATATATAAAACAAAAAGCACTGTTTGATGCACATTCATTAATATCCTTAGTTTAAGTTAGTGGTAGCTTTTTTTATTTAGTTTCAATTAAAATTAAATAATTAAAAATTAAAAGGTTTATTTTGAGTAAATTTTAACTGCACATGCAATTGTAAGAAATAATACAGAGAGATGTTCTTCTGTACACTTTACCCCAGTGGTAATATAGTGTAAAACTATGGTACAGTAACAGTGATAACATATTGTAAAACTGGAGCACCATGCCACAAACAGGATATTGACATTGATGCAATCCACAGATTGTATTGAGTTTTCTTCAGTTTAATTGTTGTGATTTCTGTGTTTAATTGTTGTGATTTCTGTGCATGGATTTAGATCTATTGGATTTAGTCATATGACTAGGTTTGATTTCCACCACCACAGTGAAGATACAGAAGATTTTCATTTTCATTAGATTGTGTCATTTGCCCTTTTATAACTACATCCACCTCAGCATTAGTGGCATGCATAAGTAGTTCTTTCTTTTATATTGTTAAGGACTGTTCCATGGTATGGAAGTACCACAATTTGTCTATTGGTACTTCCCGTGTTCAGTTTTACAAGGAAAATTATGATGATAGTTCATGTATAGGTTTTTGTGTAAACATAAGTCTCAATTTCTCTTAGGTAAATGCCGAAGAGTATAGATACTTGGTTATACGGTAAAAGCATGTTTACTGTTACAAGAAACTGCCAACAGCATCCCAGAGAGGCTGCCTGTCCCACTTTGTTTTCCAGCCAGCAATGTATGAGTTTGAGTTAGCCTAATTTCACCATTTGTAAGAACTTGCAGAACGGTAGAAATGTTTCACCATTAAGATAAATGACATTACACCATCCAGATTTTGTTGAGATATGTCCAGTTTCACTTGTATTGATATATGTATTCAATTCTATACAATTTTAGCACAAGTCTACCACAGGCAATCCCCCAAACAGTTCCATCAGCACCATGACCCCCAATATTGCTTATTTATAAGCACATCTACCTCCCTATGGCTGACATTCTTCCCCACTCCTATCCCATCTTCTGTCTATGGCTGCAGGTAACAATTCTGTTCCCTAGATTTGTAGCATGTCTCTTCAGGATTATTATATAAATAGAATCCTGTGGTATTTGACATAGGCTTCTTTCCCTTAGTGTAATTTCCTGCAGACTCATGCATGTTATTGTATCACTTGTTTCATCTTTTTAATTGCTGATGTGTATTTCACGTATGGATGTTCCATGGTATATTTATCTGGTCACTTTATCTAAACTTCTGCATTTCCCGTTTTGGGCTGTGAGGGGTAAAGATTCTAATAATACTTGTTCATAGTTTTTAATCTTGCTTCCTTTCATTCATCACACTTTCACACAGTTTTCATTTTTGTGGGTGAATATCCAAGAGTGCAGTTTCTGGTCCTTTGCTGATGATGTGTTTAGTTTTCAATCAGAAACTGAAAAGTGCTTTCCCTTGTGCATTTACCATTTTCCATTTCCAGCAGCAATGTGTGAGTAGACCAGTTTCTCTGTATGCATATTTGTACTCTTTCCTACGTTCTTTGTCCTTGATTCTCCATATTTTTTTCTATTATATCTTTCAGATTCAAGATCTTCCTTTAGCTCTTTTAAAACGTGAATCAGTAGTGACAGATACTTTTGGTTTCCTTTTGTGTGTAAACATCTTTATTTTGGCTTCATTACTGAAGGATAGTTTCATTGGATATAGAATATGAGGTTTCTCTTCTTACATAATTTGAATAATGTTTTCCTTATAGAAGTGGACAAATCTCAGACCAACCGGGAAAAGAACACTCAGATGATGAAAAACCCACAAGTCTTGGGGAAAAACACGGGTGGACGAGCTATTCCAAGTGTCTTCACCCTTTCTGGCGTTGGTGAGTTTGAAATGATACATATTACAAATAACACTGTTTGATGTACATTCATTAATACAAGTAGTTTGAGTTTGTTGTAGCTTTTCCTAATTAAAATAAAATTCTTAAAAAATAAAAGTTTTGCCCTGGCTGGTTTGGCTCAGTGGTTGGAGTGTCGGCCTGCAGACCAGAGAATCCTGGGTTTGGTTCCCACTACGGGCATGGACAAAAAAAAAGTTTTATTTTGAGTAGATGTTAACTGCACATGCAATTGTAAGAAACAATACAGAGAGATCTGTACAGCTTCCCCAGTTTCCCCAGTGATAAAATATTGTAAAACTATAGCACAATATCCCAAGCATGATATTGACATTGATGCAATCCACAGATTTTATTGAGATTTCTCCAGTTTAATATGTGTGTATGGGTTTACTTCTGTTGGATTTTATCACATGAGTAGGTTTATTTTCTACTGCCACAGTCAAGATACAGAAGATTGTCATCCTCATAAGGATGTGCCTTTTGCCTTTTTATAACTACATTTTATTCAGTGTAAGTCTGTGGAAATGCATCTGACTTGTGGCATGCTTAAGTAGTTCTTTCTTTTATATTGTTGAGGACTAGTCCATTATATGGATGGACCACAATGTATGTACTTGTTAACTGTTGATGAAGATCTTCAGTTATTCCAGTGTTCAGTATTATAAATAAAAGTGCTATGACAATTCATATATAGGTGTGTGTGTAAATTAAGTTTTCAGTTATTTTAGGTAAATACCCAAGAATACAGATGCTTGGTTATGTGGTGATAGCATATTTAGTGTTATGAGAATCTGCCATCAGTATTCCAGAGAGGCTGTCCCATTTTGCTTTTCTGCCAGAGATGCATCAGTATGAGTTAGCCATTTTCTAGACCTCCATGTCCCTGCTTCTTTCATTGTTCCATCTTCCTCTTTGATGCTGCAAGATTTATTCTTTCATTGTTCTCTGATCCTATTTTAGTTTTTAGTATTTGATTTTTCCCATCACTTTTTTTGAAATCCTCACTCAAGGATATTTTTCCACTGATTTTCAGATGGAGTAGGAGGGAGGGAGGGAGGGGAGGGGGGGGAGAGAGAGAGAGAGAGAGAGAGAGAGAGAGAGAGAGAGAAACATCGATGTGAGAGAGACACATTGATTGGTTGCCTTCCAAAGGACCCTGACCAGTTTGGACCATGGGCCAACGTTCTAACCGCTGAGCCAAACTGGCCAGGGCTATTTTTCTCATCACTTTTTATGCACTTTATGCCCTCTGCCACTACCTTCAATCACTACTATGTTGTCCGTGTCCATTAGTTCTCTACTTATTTTTTCTTTTGGCTCAATCCCTTCACCCCCAACCCCTTCCTCACAGATCTGTCGGCCTGCTGTGTTTCTGTGAGTATGTCTCTATTTTGCTCGGATTCAGTTTTTTTTTGTTTGTTTGTTTGTTTTTTTATCCTCACCCGAGGATATTTTTCCATTTTTTGTACAGATAGAGTGGGAGGGAGAGAGAGGAAGGGAGAGAGAGAGAGAAACATCGACGTGAAGGGACACATCGTGTGGCTGCCACCCGCACGACCAACCAGGGCCGGGGACAAACTGCAACCGAAGTACGTGCCCTTAGCGGGAACCGAACCCGGGTCTCTCCGGACCGCAGGCCAACACTCTAACCGCTGAGCCAAACTGGCCAGGGCGCTCGGATTCAGTTTTTAATCATATTTTATGTATGAGTGAAATCATGGTACTGGTCATTTTCTGCCTGGCTTATTTCACTTAACATGATATTCTCCACATCCATCTCTGCTCCTTTTTATAGCAGAATAGTATTCTATTGTGTAAACGTAACCCAGCTTTTCAATCCAGTCATCTATTGATGTACACTTGGGCTGTTTCCTGATCTTGGCTATTGTCAATAATGTTGTTGTGAACATAGTGGTACATAAGGTTTCTTGAATTAGTGTCTTGGGTCCCTTTGGATAAATTTTTGGAAGAGTAATGAGAGGGTCATAAGGCAGTTCCATTTTTAATTTTTTTATATTACTCCATACTGTTTTCCACAGTGGCTGCACCAATCTGCCTCCCACCAACAGTGAATGATGATTCTTTTTTCCCCATATCCTCACCAACACTTGTTTTTTGTTGAATATTTGATGATAGCCATACTGACAAGAGTGAAGTGATATCTAATTTTGGTTTTGATTAATATTCCTCTGATAATCCTTTCATATGTCTATTGGCTATCTGTATCTTCTCTTTGGGGAAGTGTCTTTTCAGGTCTTTTGCCCATTTTTTAATTGGGTTGTTTGTTTTTTGGTGTTGGGTCATCATTCTTTTCTGATGAGAGATATTCCTCTAGCCATTCTCAAGTGTAAACTGCCTGATGACATATATATTTAGCATTTCTTTATAGGAGAATGTCTTCATTTAATCTTTATTCTGTTTTTTAAAACAGTTTTAATGCTAATTTCTATTTTCAGCTTTATTGAGATATAGTTGACAAAATTATAATAAATTTATAGTATACAATGTGATGATTTGATATACACTTACATTGTGAAAGGAGTCTCACCAATGAGTTTAGTTATCACATTCATTTCCCCTATTTACCTTTTTATGTTTTGTGGTGAGCACACTAAAGTAATACTCTAAGCTAACTTCAATTATACAATCTTGCATTATCAGCTATAGTCACCTTGTCAACTGAGCTTAGTCACTTTTCAACTGACAGTTTTTACCCTTTTACCATCCTCCTCCTATTTTCTCATTTCCCAGCCCCTGATAGCCATCATTCTACTTTGTGTTTCTATGAATTTAACTTTTTTTTACATTCCACATATGTGATATCATACAGTATTCGTGTTTCTTTGTCTGGCTTATTTTACTTAGCATAATGCCTTCCAGGTCCATCCATATTGTCACAAATCTGCTTGGTCTTTGAAGGATAGTTTTGCCAGGTATGGAATTCATGGTTGAGATTTCTTGTCTTTCCATACTTGAAAATATTTATGGAAATGTTGGTGGAAGGTCAAACTAGGTTAGCAAAATCCCAGAGACAACAAATGGTCCACATTTCTTGGAAAACAATAGTAGCCAACACATTACCTCAGTATGATGCTGTATTCCAACAAGTTTTGGTGGGTGTAAAATGATACTTATCACAGGTTGCACACTTAATCTAGATATAACAACATTCTTAGTGAAAAGATAGTGGCAGCTTTTTCTAATTAAGAATTTTATTTTAAACAATATTTAGCTGCACTTGCAGTTGTAATAAATGATACAGAAATTCTGTGTTCCCATTACCCAAATTTCCCCAATCCTACGAACTTGCAAAATGGTAGAAATTTATCATCATTAAGATAAATGACAGGACACCCTCTAGATATTGCTGAGATATCCCCAGCTTCACTTGTGTTAATGTGTGTATTTAGTTCTATACAATTTTATCACATCCTCTACCACCGGCAAGCCCCAAAAGATCCATCAGCACCATGACCTCTCATTATGCTCTTTCATAAGCACTGCCACCTCCCTTCAGTTGACATTTTTCCCTACTCCTATCTCCTGCCCTGTCTCTGGCTGCTGGTTACAGCAATTAGGTTCCCCAGATTTACTGTTTTGTCCTTTCAGCATTGTTATATAAATGGAATCCTGTGGTATTTGACGTAGGATTATTTCCCTTAGTGTAATTTCCTGCAGACTCATGCACATCATTGTGAATATAACTTGTTTTTTGTTTTTTTTTTTTTTGTTTTTTTTTAATTGCTGCGATGTACTTCAAGGTATGGATGTACCATGATATATTTATCTGTTCACTTTTTTCAAAACTTCTGGGTTTCCTGTTTTGGGCTGTGAGGGGTAAAGCTTCTAATAATACTTTGTTCATAGTTTTTAATCTTGCTTCATTTCATTCATCACACTTTCACACAGTTTTTATTTTTCTGGGGTGAATGCCCAAGAGTGCATTTTCTGGTCCTTTGCTGGTGTGTTCAGTTTTTGATCAGAAACTGAAAAGCACTTTCCCTTGTGCCTTTACCATTTTCCATTCCCAGAGCAATGTATGAGTGCACCAGTTCTCTGTATACATATTTTTACTGTTTTCTATATTCTTTTTCCTTCTTCATGCTCCAGAATTTTTTCTATTATCCTTTCTATTTCAACATATTTCTTTGGTAATTTTAAAGCATGAATCATTTAGTGACAAATACTTTTGGTTTCCCTTCTCTGCAAACATCTTTATTTTGGCTTCATTACTGAAGGATAGTTTTACTGGATATAGAATATGAGGTTTGAGCCACATCTTACATCAATTGAGCAATATTTTCCTTATAGAAGTGGAGAAAGCGCACACCAACATGGGAAAGAACACTCAGATGATGAAAAACCTAAAGGTCTTGGGAAGTAACACTGGTGGACGAGATATTCCAGGTGTCCTCACCCATTCTGGCATTGGTGAGTTTGAAATGATACATATTACAAAAAGCACTGTTTGATGTACATTCATTAATACCCTTATTTTGAGCTAGTGGTAGCTGTTTGTAATTCAAATAAATTAAAATTAAATAATCAAAATTAAAAGTTTTATTTTGAGTAAATTTTAACTGCACATGCAGTTGTAAGAAACAATACAGACAGATTGCAGTTTACGGAGCTTCCCCCGCTGAAAACCTATTGTAAAACTATAGCACAATACCACAAGCAGGATATTGAAATTGATGCAATCCACAGATTTTATTGAGATTTCTCCAGTTTAATTGTAGTGATCCGTATGTATGGGTTTATTTCTGTTGGATTTGGACACATAGGTAGATTTGATTTCCTCCACAACAGTCAAGATACAGAAGATGTCCATTCCCATAAGGAGATGTCATTTTCCTTTTTATAACTACACCTTCTTCTGCATAAGTTCCTGGATATGCATCTGACTTGTGGCATGAATTAGTTCTTTCCTTTATATTGTTGAGGACTGTTCCATGGTATGGATATACGATAGTTTATGTACTGGTTCACTATTGATGGACATCTGAATCTATTCCTTTGTTCAGTATTACAGTTAAAATTTGTGATGACAGTTCATGTACAGACTTTTGTGTAAACGAAAGTTTTGATTTCTCTTAGGTAAATGCCCAAGAGTACAGATGCTTGGTTGTGTGTTAATAGCATGTTTGGTATTATAAGAAACTGCCAACAGTATTACAGAATGGTTGTTCAATCTTACTTTCCTGCCAGTGATGTATGAGTATGAGTTAGCCAGTTTCTAGACTTCCATGTTCCTGCTTCTTTCATTGTTTCTTTCCTCTTTGATGCTGCAAGATTTGTTCTTTCATCATTCTTTTCATTCGTTTGCAGATCCTATTAATTTTATTTTAATTTTTCATTATTTAATTTTATTTTTTCCATCACCTTTTATCCTGCTATGCCTTCTATCACTCCCCACAATCACCACAGTGTTGTCTGTGTCCATGAGTTCTCTCTTTTTTTGTTCAATCTCTTCACCCCTAACCCCTTCCTCACAGAACTGTCTACCTGCTGTCTATCTATTATTCTGTGTCAATTTTGCTTGGTACTTCAGTTTTTTCATTAAATTGCATGTATATGTGAAACAATGGTATTGGTCTTTCTTGACTGGCTCATTTCACTTAGTATAATGTTCTTCATGTTCATTGATGCTGTTGCAAAGGGTAAAAATTTCCTTTTACAGTGCAGTAGTATATTATTGTGTAAATGTACCATAGCTATTTTATACACTTGGGTATTGTTGGTCACTTGGGCTGTTTCCAGATCTTGGCTATTGTAAATAACACTGTAATAAGCATAGGGGTACATAAATTCTTTCCAGTTAATGTCTCAAGCCCAGCTTGTATGGCTCAGTGGTTGAGCATCAAGCCATGCACCAAGAAGTCACTGGTTCGATTCCCAGTCAGGGCAAATGCCCAGGTTGTGGCTCAAATCCCCAGTGGGAGGCATGCAAGAGGCCGCCAATCAATGTTCTCTCTCATCGATGTTTCTATCTCCATCTTTCTTCCCCTCTCTCTAAAATCAATAAAGAAAAACAATTAAAAACAAAGAATTAGTGTCTCCAGTCTCTTCTGATAAAATCCCAGAAGAGGAATCACTGGGTCATAATGCAGTTCCTTTTCTAATTTTTTGATGTAACTCCATACTGTTTTCCATAGTGTCTGTGTCAATCTCCATTCCTGCAAACAGTGTATGAGGATTTCTTTTTCTCCACAACCACTGCAATGCTTGTTTTTATTTATTTTTTATATGGCCATTCTGACAGGAGTGAAGTGATATCTCCTTGTGGTTTTATATGCATTTCTGTGTTGATTACTGACATTAAGCATCCTTTCATGTGTCTATGGGCTCTCTATGTCCTCTTCCGGGAAGGGTCTATTCAGGTGTTTTGCCCATTTTTCAACTGGGTTGTTTGTTTTTCAGTGTTGAGTCATTAGTGTTTTTTCATAAGAGACATTCGTTTAGGCATTCTCAAGTCTAAGCTGCCCAGTGAGATATACTTTTAGTTTTTCTTTCTGGGGAGTGCCTTTATTTAATCTTTACTCCGTTTTTTTTTTTTTTTTTTAAGAGTTTTAATGCTCATTTATATTTTTAGCTTTATTGAGGTGTAGTTGACAAATAAAATTGGAATACATTTACAGTATAAAATGTGATAATTTGATATACACTCATATTGTGAAAGGATTCCCATCATTGAATTGATTTATTATATCCATTATTTCCCCTCTTTACCTTTTATTATTTTATGGGGAGAACACTGAGGTTATACTCTAAGCAAATTTCAAATTTACAATCTTGCATTATCAACTATAGTCACCATGTTATATATCCTCAGAACTTAGTTCACGTTTCAACTAAGAGTTTGTACCCTTTCACTATCCTCGCCCTATTTTCTGACTTCCGAGCCATTGATAGCTATCACTCTACTGTGTGTTTCTTTGAATTTGACTAATTTTCTTTTTCTTTCTACATATGTAATACCATACAGTATTTGTCTTTCTCTGTCTGGCTTATTTTATTAGCATAACGTCCTCCAGGTCCATCCATGTTGTCACAGATCTGCTTAGTCTGTGAAGGACAGTTTTGCCAGGTATGGGTTTCATGGTTGAGATTCGTAGTCTTTTCATCCCTGAAAATATTTTTGGAAATGTTTGGTCAAAGATCAAACTAGGTTCACAAAGAGCCCTGAGACAAGAGATGATCCACTTTTCTTGGAAAACCACAGTAGCCAACACATTACCTCAGTATGTTGCTGTATTCATCCAAGTTTCAGTGGGTTTGAAATGATACTTATGAGAGGTTGCACACTTAATCTAGATTTATCAGCATTCTTAGTGAAAAGATAGTGGCAGCTTTTTATAATTAAGGTTCTTATTTTCAACTATATTTAGCTGCAACTGTAGTTGTAATAAATGATATAGAGAAATTCTGTGTTCTCAATCCCCAAATTTCCCCATTCATGCAAACTTGCAAAATGGTAGAAATTTATCATCATTGAGATAAATGACATGACACCCTCCAGGTATTTTTGAGATATCCCTAGTTTCACTTGCGTTAATGCGTGTGCTTAGTTCCATACAATTTTATCACGTGTTCTCTACTACAGGCAAGCCCCCAAACAGCTCCCTTAGCACCAAGACCCATCATATTGCTCTTTTATAAGCATACCTCCTTCCCTTTGGTTGACATTCCCCCCCCCCATTCCTATCTCTGCCCTGGCTCTGGCTGCTGGTAACAATTCTGTTCCCCAGATTTATAATTTTTCCCTTCAAGGTTGTTATATAAATGGATTACTGTGGTGTTTGAGATTGGCTTCCTGCCCTTTGTGTAATTTCCTGCAAACTCACAAATATCATGCGGTGTATCATTTGTTCATTTTTTTAAATTATTGCTGAGGAGTATTTCATGGTATGGGTGTTTCATGGTATATTTATCTGTTCACTTTTTCAAAAATTCTTGGTTTTCTGTTTTGGCTGTTAGTGGTAAAGCATCTAATAATACTTGTTTATAGTTTTTAATCTTGCTTCATTTCATTCATCATGCTTTTACACAGTTTTCATTTTTCTGGGGTGAATGCCCAAGAGTGCAATTTCTGGTCCTTTGGTGATGATGTCTTTAGTTTTTTTTTTGTTGTTGTTTTTTTGTTTTTTTATCAGAAGCTGAAAACTGCTTTCCCATGTTACCATTTTCCATTCTCAGCAGTAATGTATGTGAGTGGACCAGTTTCTCTGTATACATAGTAAAATGTTACCTATGTTCTTTGACCTTCTTCATGCTCCAGAATTTTTTCTATTATATCTTTTTGTTTCAAGATTTTCCTTTAACTATTTTAAAACATGAATCAGTTAGTGACAAATACTTTTGGTTTCCTTTCTCTGTGAACATCTGTATTTTGGCTTCATTACTGAAAGATAATTTCATTGGATGTAGTATATGAGCTTCGAGTTTCTTCTTTTTGTAATTTTTTTCTTTAACGATAGAGAGAGAGAGGAAGGGAGAAGGTGCGAGAGATAGAAACATTGATGAGAGAGAACATCGATTGGCTGCCTCCTGCATGCCCCACCACTGGGAATCAGGCCTACAACCTGGGCATGTGCCCTGACTAGGAATCGAACTGAAGACCTCTTAGTGCATGGGTCGAAGCTCAACCACTGAGCCACACCGGCCAGGCTCATGTTTCTTCTTAAATTATTATTAGTTTTAAACATACGTGTGTGTCTCATTTAATATTTTTAAAATATGTTTTTATTGATTTATTTTAGAGAGAGAAAGGGAGAGAGAGATAGAAACATGAATATGATAGAGAAACATGGATCAGCTGCTTCTTGCACACCCCTCACTGGGGAGCAAGCCTACAACCCAGGTGTGTGCCCCAAATGGTAATCGAACCAAGACCTCTCAGTCCATGGGAAGACACTATCCACTGAGATACACTTCCCATGCTCTTCTTACGTTATTTGAATGATTTTTTTTTTTTTTATAGAAGTGAACAATGCACAGACCAGCCAGGAGAAGAATACTCAGATGATGAAAAACCCACAGGTCTTGGGAAATAACACTGCTGGACAAGATATCCCATGTGTCCTCATGCTTTCTGGCATTGGTGAGTTTGATATGGTATATATTACAAATAGCACTGTTTGATGTACATTCATTAATACCCTTATTTTGAGCTAATGGTAGCTTTTCCTAATTAAAATTAAATAATTAACCTTTAAAAGTTTTATTTTGAGTAATTTTTAACTGCATGGAAATTGTAAAAAAAAAAAAAATAGAGATTGTACAATTTACCCAGTTTTCCACAATGATAATGTATTTTAAAACTATAGCACAAATATCCCTGGCCAGTTTGGCTCAGCAGCTAGAGCATTGGTCAGCAGACCAAAGAGTCCCAGGTTCGGTCCAGTCAAGGGCACGTACCTCGGTTGTGGTTCATCCCCGGCCCTGATTGGCGTTGTGCAGGAGGCAACCCATCCTTCTCACATTGATGTTTCTCTCTCTCTCCCTCCCTCCCACTCTATCTGAAGATAAATAGAAAAATATCCTCAGGTGAGGATTTAAAAAAACATAAAAACTATAGCACAATACCACCGCAGGATATTGATATTGATGCAATCCACAGATTTTATTGCGGTAACTCCAGTTTAATTGTAGTGATATGTGTGTACTGCCTTACTTCTATTGGATTTTGTCACAGGAGTAGTTTTGATTTCCATTATCACAGTCAAGATACGGAAGATTTCTATCCCATAAGAATGTATTATTTAACTTTTATAACTTCACCTACTTCAGCATAAGTCCTTGGATATGCATCTGACTTGAGGCATGCATCAGTAGTTCCTTCTTTTATATTCTTGAGGACTATTCCATGGAATGGATGTACCACATTTATGTACTGTTTCACTATTTATGAACAACTGAGTTTATTCCAGTGTTCAGTATTACAAATAAAATTGTGATGACAGCTCATGTACAGATTTCTGTGTAAATGTAAGTTTTGATTTCTCCTAGGTAACTGCCCACGAGTACATTAGATGCTTGGTTATGTGGTAATAGCATGTTTAGTGTTACAAGAAACTGCCAACAACATTCCAGAGGAGCTGTCCCATTTTGCTTTCCTGTCAGAAATGCATCAGTATGAGTTAGCCAGTGTCCCAACATCTATGTCCCTGCTTCTTTCATTGTTCATTTCATTTGTTTGCAGATCCTATTAATTTTATTTTAATTTATTAATATTTAAATTTATTTTTCTATCACCTTTTATCTACTCTATACCCTCTACCACCTCTACTAATACTCCTCCACCCCCACAATCACCACAGTGTTGTCCTTGTCCATGAGTTCTCTCTCTTTTCTTTGTTGTTGTTGTCTGTATCCTCCCACCCCCAACCCCTTCCTCACAGAGCTTTCTGCCTGCTGTCTATATATGAGTTTGTCTCTACTTTGAATGGTACTTCAGTTTCTTCATGAAATTCCACGTATGAGTGGAATCATGGCACTGGTCTTTCTCTGACGGGCATATTTCACTTTAGAAAATTTTTTCCAGGTCCATCTATGCAGTTTCTAAAGGTAAATTTTTCTTTTCATTTTACAGCTTAGTAGTATTCTACTGTGTAAATGTACCACTGCTTTTTTATCCACTTGTCTACTTATAGACACTTGGGTTGTTCCCAGATTTTGGCTATTGTAAGTTATGGTATAATGAACATAGGGGAAATACATTATTTTAAATTGATGTCTCCAGTTTCTTCAGATGATTTCTTAGAGGAGGCGTCACTGGTTCACAAAGCAGTTCTATATTTAATTATTTTATGTAACTCATACTGTTTTCCACAGCAGCTGCACCAATCTGCTTTCCCACCAACAGTGCTGGAGGATGTTTTTCTGCCACATCTTCACCAACAATTGCTTTTTGTTGAATATTTGATGTCAGCCATTTAGACAGGAATGAAGTGATATCTCATTGTGGTTTTAATTTGCATTTCTCTGATGATTAGTGACATTGAGCATCCTTTCATATGTCTTTTGACCATGTGTAAGTCCTCTTTGGGGAAGTGTTTATTTAGGTCTTTTGCCTATTTTTAATTGGGTTGTTTGTTTTTTGGTGTTGTCACCATTCTTTTCCATTAAAAAATATTCCTCTAGCCATTCACAAGTGTAAACTGCCTAGTGAGATATATTTTTAGATGTCCTTGGTGGGATACTGTCTTTATTTAATGTTTAGTCTGTTTTTTTGAACAGTTTGATCTCTAATTTCTTTTTATTTCAGCTTTATTGAGGTATAATTGACTAATAAAGTTATATAATTACAATGTACAATGTGATTATTTGATAAACACTTATATTGTGAAAGGCTTCTCACTATTGAATTTATTTATCACATCCATCATTTCTACTGTTTACCTTTTTATATCTTGTTGTGAGAATGCTGAAGTTGTACTCTAAGCAAATTTTAATTATAAAGTCTTTCATTATCAACTATGGTTACCAAGTTATACATCCTCAGCTTAGTTCACTTTTCAACTGACAGTTTGTACCCCTTTACCATTCTCTCCTTATTTTTTCACTTCCCAGCCCCTTACAGCCAACATTCTACTCTCTGTTTCTATGAATTTGACATTTTTTTCTTTTTCGATTCTACATATGTGATACAGTATTTGTCTTTGTCTGGCTTATTTCACTTACCATAACACCCTTCAGGTCCATCTATGTTGTCCCACATCTGCTTGGTCTTTGAAAGTTAGTTTTGCCTAATATGGAATTCATGGTTGAGATTCTTTGACTTTGCATATATGAAAATATTTTATGTATAGAAATGTTGATGGAAGCTCTAACTAGCTTGTCTAAGAGCCCGAGACAACTGATTCTCTTTCCTTGGAAAATAACAGTAGCCAAAACATTTCCTCAGTATGTTGCTGTATTCGTCCCAGTTTTAGTTGGTTTGAAAATTACTTATGAGATGTAGCACAGTTAATCAAGATTTATCAACATCCTTAGTGAAAAGATGGTGTCAGTTTTTTTCTAATTAAAATGTTTATTTTCAACTATATTTAGCTGCTCTTGCATTTGTAATAAAAGATACAGAAATATTATGCATTCCCATTACCTAACTTTCCCCTATGGTACGAACTTGCATAATGATGGAAAATTATCACCACTAAGATAAATGACATGACACCCTCCTGATATTTCTGAGATGTCCCCAGTTTCATTTTTGTTAATGTGTATGTTTGGTTCTATATAATTTTTTCACATATCCTCTACCACAGGCAAGCTTCCAAACAGTTCCATCAGCACCACGACTCCTCATATTGCTCTTTTATAAGCACACCCCCATACCTCCGTTTGACATTCCCCCAGCTCCTGTCCTCTGTCCTTTCTCTAGCTGCTGGTAACAACAAATCTATTCCCCAGATTTATCATTTTTTCCCTTTGGTATTATTATATAAATCAAATCCTGTGGTGTTTAAGATTGGCTTTTCTCCCTCAGTGTAATTCCCTGGAGATTCACTCATGTCAATGGGTGTATCACTTGTTCCTTCTTCCTTCTTTTCTATCGCTGAAGAGTATTTCATGGTATGAATGTTGCGTGGTATATTTATCTGTTAACCTTTTCAATACCTCTGGGTTTCTCATTTTGGGCTGTTAAGAGTAAAGCTACTACTAATACTTTTTCATATTTTTTCATCTTGCTTCTTTTCATTCATTTCATTCTTTCACAGTTTTCATTTCTCTGGTATTAATGCCCAAGAGTGCAATTTCTGGTCCTTTGGTGATTGCATCCTAAGTTTTTTACCATAAACTGACAAATTGCTTTCCAGTGTGGCTTTACCATTTTTCATTCTCATTTCCATTTCATTTAGCAATGTATGAGTAGACCAATTTCTCTGCATCCATAATTGTGTTTTTTTCTTTGTTCTTTGTCTTGCTTTATGCTCCAGAAATTTTTTCTATTGTATTCTTTTTGTTTGAAGATTTTTCTTTAGACACTCACAACCATGAATCAGTTAGTAACGAATTCTTTTGGTTTCCTTTTTTTTTTTTTTTCTGTAAATATCTTTATTTTTGCTTCATTACTGAAAGATAGTTTCTTTGGTTATAATTTATGCAGTTTGGAGTCTTTTCTTACATCATCTGAAAAATGTTTTCTTTATAGAAATGGTCATAGCACAAACCAACCAGAAAAAGAACACTCAGATGATGAAGAGTTCGCTGTCCTCGGAAAACACTAACAATGGTGGTAAAGATACTTCGTGTGTCCTCATCCATTCTAATGGCAATGTGTTTGAAATTATACATATTACAAATAGCACTGGTTTAATGTAGATTCATTAACACCCTTAATGTAAACTTGTGGTGTCTTTTTAAAATTAAAATGAGTTAAATTTAAAAATTGAAAATTAAAAATTTTATTTTGAGAAAATTTTAGCTACACATGCAATTGTAAGAGATAATACAGGGAGAGCTTGTATACACTTTACTCATAGTACAATGCCAGATCAAGGACATAGACATTGATAGAATCAACAGATTTTATTGAGATGTCCTTTGTTTTATGTTTATTTTTAAGTGTGTTTTTTATTTTTATGTTTCTCACTTATATTCAGTTTTATATCATTTCATAACATGTGTAGGTTTTTATGTTATCCAGCGCAGTGCAGATTCAGAACATTTCCATCACCACAAGGATTTCTCATAATGCCCACCTGCCTTTCTTCTTTTCCTTCTTACTTCTGTCCTGCCTTGTCCTTGCCCTTGGCAACTGTTAACCTGTTTTTTTCTTTATCATTTCAAGGGGTTTATATAAAAGGTTATATAGTATGTAACCTCTTGGGTTTGCCTTTTTCCATTCAGCGTAATTTCCTGGAAATTTATCTATATTGCTGTGTATCAGTAATTTATTCTTTTTTATTGCTAAGTACTATTCCATGGTATTGGTATATCATGGTATATTTATCTGTTCATGGGTTGAAGGACATCTGGGTTGTTTCCAGTTTGGCTATCAGGAGTAAACCTGCTATGAATGAACACTCATGTACATGTTTCTGTGTGAACATGTTTTTCATTACTTTGGGATAACACCCAAGAGCACAGTTACTGGGTCCTTTGAAAATGGTAATTAGTGTTTTGTAAAATATTGCCAAACTGTTTTCTAGTGTAACTGTAATGTTTTATATTCCCACCAGCCAGGTTTGAGTAATTGAATTTCTCTGCTCTTTCCATTGTTTTTTCTTCCTTCCTCATGATCCAAGATTCCTTCTTTTATCATATATTTTTGTTTTGAAGATTTTACTTTAGCTGTTATTAAGGGTATGTCAGCCAGTGACAATTTTTTTCCCCTTTGTCTGTGAACGTCTTTATTTCTCCTCCATTATTGAAGGATAGTTCTGCCTGCTATAAAAATTACTGTTGAGATCTCTTATCTTTCAGCACTTTAAAATGTTTTACTTACCAAAATGTCATTCAAACAGACTCCAGTGCAGGAACGAGAACTGAAACAACGATTTACCCAACTTTAGTGCCAAATGACAGTAAACAAGAAGATACTGATTCAAGGTCTTTCTTCTTCACTCCTGGTTATGGTGAGTTTGAAATAATATATATTATAAGTAGCACTCTTTAATCTATATTCATCGATATTCTTAATATTAATTCTTAGTGATAGCTTTTTCAAAATTAAACTTTTCACTGAGATATTTCAGAATCACACATAAGTACAAGAAATAATACAGATAGATCTTATGTACCATTTACTCAGTTTCTCCCAATAGTAATATTTTGCAAAAAAATATAGTAAAATATTACAACTAAGATATTGACATTGATACAATCCACAGATCTATTTAGATGTCCCCAGCTTTACTTGTGTTTATTTTTTTTGTGTGTATTTAGTTCTCTGCACTTTAGTGACGTGTTTAAGTTCAGGTTTTCACCACTACAGTGATGACACAGAACTGGTCCACCACTTCCAGGAACCCTTTTGTTGCCTTTTTATAACCACACCTACCTTCTTCATGTCCTTCCTTCCCTGGCTTCATCTCTAACTCATCCAAGTACTACTGTGTACTCCCTCTTTATAATTTTGTCATCACAAGAATGTTATATTAATGGACTCATATGGTATTTAACCTTTTAAGGTTGCTTTTATTTCACTCAGCATAATTCCCTGGAGATTCAGCCAAACTGCTCCATGTGTCAGTAGCTCCTTTCTTTTTAGTGCTGAGTACTATTCCATGGTATGGGTGTACCATGATTTATTTATCTCTTCTCCCAGTGAAGGATATGGTTTTTCCAGTTGTTGACTATTAGGAGTAAAGTTAATATGAACACTCATGTACAAATTTTTGTGCAAACATACATTTTAATTTCTCTATGATAAATGCCTAAAAGCTCAATTGCTGGTGAAAATGCTAATTTATACATTTAGTTTTATAAGAAACTGGCAAACTACTTTCCGAATGACTCTACTATTTTTTATTCCCACCAGCAGTGTATAAATGATTCACTTTCTCTGCTTTCTCATCATTTGATATTTTTACTATTTTTTTTTATTTTAACTATTCTGATAGGTATATAGTAAGATTTTGTTGTGGGTTTAATATGCATTTGCCTTTGGATAATGATGTACAACATCTTTCCATGTGCTAATTTGCCATCTGTATATTCTTTCTCTGAAATACTTGTTCTGTCTTCTTATAGTAGTGTTTGTGTTTTTACTGCTGAGTTCTTAGAGATGCTTAGATATTTGTAGATACTAGTTTTTTGTTGGATATGTGGTTTGCAAATATTTTCTTCTTGTCTGCAACTTGTCTTTTTGTCCTCTACAGGTTATTTTTGGAGAGAGAGAGTTTTTAATTTTCATGAGGTTTAATTTGTCAGATTTTCCTTTTGTTAGATAGTGCTTTCAGTGTCAAGGCTATGAACTGTTTGCTTAGTCCTCGGTCCCAATTTTTTCTTCTTTCTTTCCCTAAGGTTTTATATTTTACCCTTAACATATAAATTTGTGACCCGACCCATGTAGAGCTAATTTCATATAAGGTAGGAGATAGGTCAAGGTTCTCTCTCTCTCTCTTTTATGCCTATGGATATCCAATTGCTACAGCACCATTATTTGAATTGCTTTCTTTCCTCCATTAAAATTCTTTTATATCTTAATCAAAAATTAATTAGGCACATTTATGTAGGTCCATTTCAGGGCTCTCTATTGGGTTCCAGTGATCTATGTTTCTATTCCCCTGCCAAACCACAGCATTGTGATTACTGTTGTTATGCAGTGAACCTTACTATCAGGTAAAATGATTTCTCCTACTTTATTCTTTTGCAAAATTGTTTTTAGCTATTCTATGTTCTGTGACTTTCTATCCAAATTTTAGAATAACTTTTATTATATTTCTAAAAATCTTGTGGGATTTTTTAAAGAATTTTACTAAACCTACAGATCAACTTGAGAAAAATTGACATCTTTAGAATATTGAATCTTCTCATCTATTCACATTGTATGTCTGTGTATACTTAAGGTTTTCTTTTATTTATTTTATTATTTTGTAATTTTCATAATACAGATCCTTCACATTTTTTAAAATCAATTTTACATGAGTATTTTATTTTCTTTAGATATGTTATAAATGTCAGTACATTTAAAATATAAATGTCAGTACATTTAAAATTTTGGTTTACACATGTTCATTGTTAGTATATAGAAATGAACTTAAATGTTGAGTGTTGATCTTGTATCCCATGACCTTGTTGAACGCAATTTTAGGACTTTTTTTTTTTTTTTAATTCTTTGAGACTCTCTACATAGCCATCTTTCTTGTATTATGCCATGTGTAAATAGGGACCATTTTATTTCTTCCTGTCCAATCTGTATACCTTTTCGTCCTTTTGCTTGCATTATTGCAGTGGCTAGAAATTTCAGTGTTATGTTGAATAAGAGTGGTGAGAATATACATCCTTGCCTTAGGAAGTAAGCATTTAGTCTTTCACCATTGAATATGATGTTAGCTATAGGTTTTTGATAGATAATCTTTGTTAACTTGAGATAGTTTCCCTCTATTCGCTGAGAGGTTTTTTTTTGTTGTTGTTATCATGAGTGGGTATATATAATTAATATTATAAATGGATACATTATTGGTTTGTTTTACAAATATTTGATTAAGAATTGTTGTGTCCAAGTTCATGAAAATATTGGTTCTCTATTTTTCTTTTTCTTGTACTGGTTTTGGTATCAGGGCATACTAACCTCATACAATGAGTAAAGGCTTCAAAGAGTAAGTGAAAAATTAGTGTTAGTTGTTTAAATGTTTGCTTTAAATCTTCAGTAAAATCACCTTGGCTTGAAGATTTTGGGGGGGGAACTTTACAATTGCAAATTCAATTTCTTTGATGAGTATAGGACTATTTAGATTATCTGTGTCATCTTGGTTGAGTTTTGACATTCGTAATTATGGAGGAATTATTTAATTTCTTCTAAGGTATCAAATTTATCTCATATTAAAATAGCTACTCTGTCTTCTCTTCTTTGATTAATGTTTGCTTGCATGGTATATATTTTTCTATCTTTAAATAGCATATAGTTGGGTCTTGTTTTTGTTTTTTATCTACTTTATCAATTTGCCACCATGTAATTGATTTGGTTAGGTCATTTACATTTAAGGTAATTATTGATATCCTAGGGCTTAAGTCTGTCATTTTATTATTTTTCACTTTGTCATTCTTCTCTTTCTCTTTTTTGCCTTCCTGTGAGTTACCTGAACATTTTCTAGTATTCCATCTTGATTTATTTATGTTTTCAGGTGTATTGCTTTGTTCAATTTTCCTAATGGTCACTGTGGGTGTTACTTATATACATTTATTGGTGTCAACATTTTACCACTTGGAATTAAGTGTTGAGACTTTAATTCCACTCAGGTTCCTTTGCTCTCCTCACTTTTAACTATTACTGTTTAAGTGTTGGATTGTGTTTTCATTTTTGTTTCAGTCATCACATATGATTTACAAAACTCATGATAGTTTTGTATTTACCCATATTTATGCTTTTTCGGGTCTTTATTCCTTTTTATTGTTGAATAATATTCTAAGGTACTGGATTTATCACAGTTTAACCATTCACCTATTGAAGGACATATGGGTTGTTTATAGTTTTTGGCTATCCAGAATAAATCTGCTAAGAATACTTATGTCTTAGCATGACACTTAGGCATCATCATGAGCTTGTATTTCTCTGGGATGACTTTCCAAGAGAAAATTGCTGTGTCATGTGGTAATTGCAGGTTTAGTTTTATAAGAAACTGCCAAACTGTTTTCTGGTGTGGCTGTTCCATTTTACACTTCTCCCATCAACGTACAAATGACTGAGTTTCTCTGCCATCATATTTCTCTTTCTATTGTTGTTTCTTCATTTCTGATGCTCCAAGATTCCTTCCATCATCATAAATTTTCTGTTTGAAGATCTTCTTTTAGCCATTCTTTAAGAGTAGGTCTGCTAGGGTCAAACATGTTTAGTTTTCTTTTGTCTGAGAATGTGTTATTTCTCCTTCATACCTGAAGGATAGTTTGCTAGATATAGAATTTACAGTTGAGAGTTTTTTTTTCAGCACTTTTACCTTTAGATATATTTGTAAAAGCAGACAACAGCACGGAAAACAACCATGAAACAATGATTTCCCCAATTGTATTGGAAAATAACTGTATTCGTGTGTCTTCCTCATCATCTGACTCCATCCCTTTACATAGTGGTGAGTGTGAAATGACACATATTACAAGTAGCATTATTTAACCTATATTCTTCAACATTCTTGATATAAGCTACTGGAAGCTTTTCATTTTCTATGTTGAGGGCTGATTTTAGGTGATACAACGATTACTAACATTTATTGAGTGGGTATTATGTGCAAGGCACTGTGCTAATCAACTGACATGCCTCTTCTCCATTAATATTTCTCATGATGTAGGTATTTTTATTACTCCCATTCCCAGAGTCACAGAGCTGGTGAATGGCATTTCTGGAACTCTAACCCAGTTTTCTCTGACTTTAAAGCTTGTGTTCTTTAATAGTCTCCTGTATTGCCTACCAAGCCACAATGGCAGAGATGATGAGACGTCAGGTTTTGTGGCCTCAAAGGGCAAGTCTTCTTAATATTTTATAGTTTGTTTGTATCAGTACTTCTAAGAAGCTAATCTCTTATTAATATCTTAGCGCAGGAATCAGCAAACTTTTTCTGTAAATGGCTTGATAGTAACTATTTTAGGCTTTGTGGGCCATCTGGTGTCTGTCACAATTACTCCGTCTGCTGCTATAGCATCAAAGCAGTCACAGATGTAGGTAAATGAATGGTGTGGCTGTGTGCTAATACAACTTTATTTATAAAAACTGATTGTGGGATTGGCCTGTGGACTATAGTTTTTTGACTCTTGTCCTAGAGACCTGTTTTTTTTAAAAGTTATTTTGTTACCCAAGCTAGAAGAAACTTTAAAAAATGTGCTCTTTGTATTAAATGGGCACTGTGATATGCTGTTGTTAGAAGTATAAATTGGTGAAACTTTCTGAGAGGGTAATTTGTATAAAAATCCATAGAATTACTTACACCAGTTTACTCAGTAATCCTACTTCTGTCTGAAGGAATAATTTAAAAATATTTGTATTAAAATTTTGATACACAGTGTTCTTTACAGAATCTTGAAAAATTGGAAACAGACAAATAAGCCACCATAAGGAATCGGTTAAGCGGCTCCTGGTATATTCACAGTACATGAGGCAGTAAAGCATGGTTTCCGGAGTCAAACTGCTTGGGTTCAAATCCCAACTTTATGTTTTACTAACCATGTGACCTTCAGCCACTTTTCTAACCTAAATATTAGTTTCTCCATCTGTGAAGAGACACAAACTATAGTAGCTACTTCATAGAATTGTGAGGATCAAATGGGATAATTCATTTAAAGCTCCTAACACAATTCCCAGAGCGTAAGTGCAACATAAATGTCACCTTTTAGAAAAATCATGACAGGGATGCAGAGTTGAAAAAAAAAAACAAATTAACAGGAAGAAATGCTCAAATTATAATGTTAACAGAAAAACCAGGATTGAAACTATGTATAAAGTATGATTTAAATTTTGTATTTTAAAAAAGAAATAGAGCCTGGCCGGAGTGGCTCAGTGGATTGAGCATCATCTCATGGACTGAGAGGTCCTAGTTCAATTCCCAGTCAGGGCACATGCCTAGGATGTGGGCTCGATCCCCAGTGGAGGGTGTTCAGGAGGCAGCCAATCAATGTTTCTTTCTCATATAGATGTTTCTATCTCTCTCCCTCTCTCTCTAAAATATAAGTAAAAACATTTAAAAAAAATAAAAATAAATAAATAAATAAATAAATAGAAAATATAATGGAAGACATTAGCAGATTAATGGTCCAGAGCACCTGGCTTATAGACAGACAGAGTTAGATTTTTAAATTGGCTCTATAACCAGCAGTGTGATCTTGTTCAAATAACTTATCTTCTCTGGGCCTCAATTTCCTCATCTGCTAAGTGGGATTAAGTTGTTAGGATGCTGAAACAACTTATAGATGTAAAATATTTAGCACAGTGCCAGATACTCAATAAATGCTAGCTAGTTTTAAATGTTCTTAGTTATACTCATCTATACTTTCCAAATTGTCTTCAGGGAATAAATACTTACTCAGTTATATAGATCTGAGTCAAGTGTTAGAGTGTCAAAAGGAGCAGTGCTATCTCAGAGAAACATGTTTACATATGTACCTATGGCTTAAGAATTCAATTTATTCAAGAGAAGGAACAGATTAGTTTAAGTAGAACAAATTCAAGACTAGCAAAAGTGAAAAATACTAACAATTATGCAGATGACATCAAAGAAATTTATTTATGGAAAATAAGAGAAAAGTATAGAAAAAAATTCACCCAAGTAGACATTTGTGAATTAGAGTCAATTAAGTTAATTTTCTTGGGCACTTTCATGGTAGCCTTGCCTGAAAAAAAACAAGGATTTTACTTGTTTCTTGTGTTTTTAAAGGATATCTTGGTGATCCAAAAAGAAATGTCAGGATTCTTAAAGTGCATTTGATAAACGCACAAAGGAAGCCGGAACCTAAACACGCAGCCCGATACTTGGTTCGTGTTTTGTTCTCTAAGGAAGTCCTGATTCGCAGCACAGTAGGTGACAATTCCTACCTACCAAACCCTAGTTGCCACCAATGCCTAGATCCAAACAAAATGGCTGCATTAAGAGGTATGTAAAAGAATTATGGAATTTATGTTATCAACATTTGGTAATTTGGTGGATGTTATTTGCAGTTTCAGAAATAATGATGAAGTGTTGTTAAATTTTAGAACTGTTCATTTTTTTTACCTGTCTGACCCAGATCTTACAATTTAATAGTATGTAATGAGTAACAGCTTCTAAAGAATAAAACTTGTCTATAGACTGGTGGAATAAGACAAGCTTTATTGATTATAGTTCCTATGGTTAGTACTAAGCCAGTTCTTCAGTGCTGAATCTTGACACTACAAAAAGACAACAACAACAAAAAACAAAACAAAACAAAGAAAAACCCAAAAATTAAATATGAGAAAATAAAACGTATTTCAGTGCTAGTAACTGGCAACACAGAAATAGAATCTCATGATTAATCTACTTTAGCCTCCCGCCTTTCAGAAATATGTATGGAAGTCCTAGAACTCACACTGAGGATATAAGGATTAGTATTTCTGTATTCAAGGAGTTTGTAGTCTAGAAATGGTATGTTGAGGGAAACAATAAATTCCAATCCAATATGGTAATGCTATGAAAGCTCAGAGAGCAGAGAAACTACTTTGAGGGCATTAGGGAAGGCTTACTAAGGACAAGACTTCTAAACTGGATTTGGAAGGATTCCTTACCTAAGTAAAGAAAATAGGAAGGGTAGTCTAGGCAGAGGGAATAGCTTATGGGGAATATAAACAAGTAATGTGCACAAATAAACCATTGTGTACTGATATTTGTGATAATACCATTTCTCTTCATAGATTTCCTTTTATTTTAGTTCTGACTTATCCATAGGGCTATTAAATGGCTTTAGCTTTCTGAAATGTTGACTTTTTTTATACAGTTTTGTTTTAAAGCATCAGAAATCCTTATTACTGGTCTCTGGGCCAGTGTTTTAGGGAATTGCACATTAGAAGAAATGAGATAGTCAGCAAAGCATTGACTTTTGGTAGAATTTCTAAACTCTCCGAAAATGTTAGAGAAAAGAACGACAATTAAAAACAGAAAAGTTCTGCCCTGGCCAGTTTGGCTCAGCAGTTAGAGCGTCGGCCTGCGGTCTGGAGAGACCCGGGTTCGGTTCCTGCTAAGGGCACGTACCTGGGTTGCAGTTTGTCCCCGGCCCTGGTTGGGTCGTGCGGGTGGCAGCCACTCGATGTGTCCCTTTCATGTCGATGTCTCTCTCTCTCTCTCTTTCTCTCTCTCTCTTTCTCTTCCTCACTCTCCCTCCCACTCTATCTGAACAAAAAATGGAAAAATGTCTTCAGGTGAGGATAAAAAAAAATAGAAAAGTTTAGTATTTTAAATTTAAAAAATTCTTGTCAGTTTCTTTGTTAATTTTTTTTTCTAATTTTTGTTAATGCTTTCTGTTATTTGCAGAGTATCTGGCAACAGCTTTTCCCAACCATGATTTGCATGAATGTGGAAAAGACTGGAAAGCCTGCATTTCCTATATCAATTCTCTGATCCGCTATTTATGTTCTGAAGCCAAAAAAACACCAGTAAGTTATTTTTCATCTAAATATGGTCACTGCTGTACAAATGCATACTGTATACAATTCCAGAACTGAAAACATGACACACAGAATCTTAAGGCATGTGGTCAAAATCTTGTTTATTTAATTTGGGGGCAAGATATGTTCTCTCAAAAGCATAATGCCTATTTATTTCATTCTTTGATATTTATGCTCCATAAAAATATCATAAAGATAAAAATAAATTAAATACAGTGTTATAATTAGTATGTTTGAAGCCGAAGGCTATATAAGAAAAAAAAAAAACAACTCAGCTACAAAGATATTTGGCAAATCTTTTTTAGTATCCCACTGAATAACACAGAAAAGAGCAGACTGTGGTACTGTTTAGCTGTTCTAGTGATAGTTAAGGATGGCACAAGAGAAAAGCGAGGCACTTCTTTACTAGTTCACTTTTAGTAATGACAGAACCTGGTGAAAATAATGCATGTCATGGGGTTAAGCTATTGCAGATATTTTATATTCTGTACAGTTACATGGTAAACAAGAATCTGGCTTCTCTCTCATCCATTCTATCTTCAAAATCCATTAGAGATTTTTTTAAATACGAATGGGCCAGTAAGGAAGAATATCATGTTTATTGCCTTCTCCTGAGGAACTTAATGACAATTCCTAATTTCTACCCACCTTTCTAAAAACCCCATTTTCTTCTTTCCACGTCTAGCCACTCCTTTGTCTCTAAAGTAAGTTTATGGAAACTATTTGCCATGAATATTTGTAGCTAAGCTTATGTTTTTCTGGTGAATGACTTGAATTCAGTGATAGCTCAAGCACCATCTGTCTGAAACCAAATTTGCTTATTTTTCCACATTCCCTTTTATAGCCTACAAAAATTGCACCCTAAACATTTGAATGTAAAATTAAGATACTGCCTGGAAAATGGTAATTTGCACATTTGCTTAGACATCAGAAGAGAAGCAGCATATGCCAAGTGCCTCCTGTGTACTTGACTGAGAGTGGGATAGGTCCTTGCCACTCAAAGTGGGTCGGTCCACGGTCCACGGTCCAGCAGCAGCAGCAGTGGAAAATTTGTAAAAAATGCAGTCTTGAAGTGAGTCAAGACTCACTTGAAGCAAAATTTGAATTTTAACAACACCCCAGGAGTTTGAGAAGCCCAGATCTAGAACAGTGGTTGTCAACCCTGTATACATATTAGAATCATGTGAGACACTTAAAAATACATATATATTTTTACATATATATATACACATATGTATACATATGTATATATGTATGTATATGTGTGTGTGTGTGTGTGTCTATATATATATAGACACATACATATATCCCTCACTCTATGCACCAGACATTCTGATTGAATTTACTGAGGGTGGAGCCCAAGCAGAGCTTTCTCTTTTTTATTGAGATCCCTAGGGTAATTCAAATGTTCAAATTTGTAGCCAGTTTGAAAGCCATTGGGGAAAAAGAAAGCAAACAAAAAACACTTTAAAACAAACAAAAGTTGTGATCTTCAAGAGACTCATTTATTTGTTTATTCATGAAATGTTTATTTTCTGCCAGCAATTAGTATTGAGTTCTTTAGCTAGAACTACCAAGTCTGCTAGGAAGCAGCAGTTATGGCAGCTTAAAGAAGAATCCACACTATACTTCTTTGATCGTAGCACACAATATCTTGGGGCTTTAGCCCACCTTATTAGACCGGGTTGCTTCCTCAACAGCCTTGAGGGGGGCCCAGGTAGATGATGGAGCACGTCCATTCTTTCTCACTATTGGGTTTTGTTTATAGATACAATTTTGTGTTTCAGGAGAAAACTGTTGTCACCACCAAACGCAGTACACCAGTGTCTGTAGATTTGAATGATAAAAGGGATGGTAATGGTGGAGAAGGCAGTTCCCAGTTACCTAAACAAGCAGCTGCCTCAGAAACAAGAGCAAGTGGGAATTCTCAGCTAAACAGCAGTGCTGTCCCTAAAGTATTTAAAGAACACTGTACTGGTAATTCAGCGGTACCTTATGGAGCACTGAGTGAGTTTTAAACTAAGTTCTCTTGATGTTGAATCTGGCTGATACTCTTATGGAGCCTATTGTACTACCTTTGTACTTTTATGTATGTTTGAAAGTTTTCATAAGAAATCTAAACAACTTAATCACTTATATTAATTGTTATTGAAATATAGATACTTGGTTTAACATTAAGCAAAATCTATTATTTTTCCTTTGAAAAGCAGTCCTCAGCCAACTACTTTGATTCCTGTGACCTCTCAGGCGAGGCACCCAGCTCTGCAAGTAAAGATGAAGGAGCTATAGCTGGCGGAGACAGAAGCAGTTCAGGGGTCTTGCTCTGTGTGCTGGGCATGTTGCAGTGTTCTGTAAAGAGTTTTTGCATGAATTAATGAATCCCATTCCTCAGAATGTTGTACTCTCATGCAAGCTATCTGCTGTAGATGCACCCTGCTTTATTAGTGTCAAGTGGCAGTTGGTTCTGTAGGTGACTCATGCTTCACAAGGACCCCTCCCCAGAATGCTGGGGTTTGGGAGCATCCGAAGTAGCAAAACTATCTTCTGTCTCTCCCTTGCCTCTCTGTCAACCCTAAGTAAATAATACTTGTGAACCTATTCAAATGAAATTATTTTTTTCTCTCTCCAACTCTATTTCTTTTTCATGAAATTTATTGGGGTGACATTGGATAATAAAATGATATAGGTTTCAGGTGTACAATTCTATAATACATTATCTCTATATTGTATTGTATGTTCACCACCCCAAGTCAAGTCTCCTTTCATCACCATTTATCCACCTTTACCCTTTTCTACCCCCCCTCCCCTTCCCCTCTGGTCTATGAGGTTTTTTGTTGTTGTTGGTTTTGCTTAATCCTTTCACCTTTTTCACCCAACCTGCAACTCTGCTTCCCTCTGAAAGCTGTCAGTCTGTTACCTATCTGAGTCTGTTTCTATTTTGTTAGTTTATTTTGTTCATTAGATTCCACATATGAGTAAAATCATGTGGTACTTGTCTTTCTCTGACTGGCTTATTTCACTTAGCCTAATGCTTTCTAGGTCCACCCATGCTGTCAAAAAGGGTAAGGTTTACATCTTTTTTTACGGTTGAGTAGTATTCCATTGCATAAATGTACCACAGCTATTTTATTCCCTCATGTACTAACAGACACTTGGGCTACTTCCAAATTTTGGCTATTGTAAATAATGCTGAAATGAACATAAGGGTGCATATATTCTTTCAAATTGGTGTTTCGAGATTCTTAGGATGCATCCCAGAAGTGGGATTGATGGGTCAAAAGGCAGTTCCCTTTTTAATTTTTGAGGAAACTCCATACTGTTTTCCACAATAGCTCTGCCAGTCTGCATTCTTACTCCATTGTATTTGCACAAGGGTTCCTTTTTCTCCAGATCCTCACCAGCACTTGTTGTTTGTTGATTTATTGATGATAGTCATTCTGACAGGTGTTGAGGTGATAATCTCATTGCATTTTTAAAAATTTATCTTTATTGTTGAAAGTATTACTGATGTCCCCTCTTTCCCCCATTGACCCCCTCCACCCCACTCCTGCACCCCCCCCATAATTTGCATCTCTGTGATAACTAGTGACATTGAGCATTTTTACATATGTACATTGGCCATTTGTATGTCCTCATAGGAAAAGTGTCCATTCAGGTCCTTTGCCCATTTTTTAAATTGGATTGTTTGTCTTTCTGGTGTTGAGTTGTATAAGTTCTTTTGGAAATTAACACCTTATGAGATGTATCATTGGCAAATATGTTCTCCCATATAGTGGGTTCCCTTTTCATTTTGTTGATGGTTTCCTTTGCTGTGCAGAGGCTTTTTGGTTTGATGTAGTCCCATTTGTTTATTTATTTTTTGTTGTTTCCCTTGCCCTGGGACATATGTTAGCAAAAACATTGCTATGGGAGATATCTTAGATTTTACTGCCTATGTTCAATTTAAGATTTGTATGGTTTCACAATTTACATTTAAGTGTTTTATCCATTTTGAGTTTATTCTTGTATATGGTGTAAGTTGGTGGTCTAGTCTCATTTGTTGCATGTACCTGTTTAATTTTCCAAACACCATTTATTGAAGAGACTTTCTTTACTCCATTATATGGTCTTGTCTCCTTTGTCAAATATTAATTGGCCATGTAGGTGTGGGTTGATCTCTGGGTTCTCTGTTCTGTTCCATTGATCTATATGCCTGTTCTTATGCCAGTACCAGGCTGTTTTGATTACTATGGCTTTATAGTATAGTTTGATATCTGGGATTGTGAAACCTCCAACTTTGTTATTCTTTCTCAAGGTTGCTGAGGCTATTTGGGATTTCTTTTGGTTCCATATAAATTTTTGGAATATTTTTTCTGGATCTGTGAAATATGCCATTGGTATTTTTAAAATTGTAAATATTTCAGTAAGAATCATGGTGCTTATTTTTGAAAAGGTCTTTTTTATAAGCAGAAAAACAATGCATTAAAATGACTTAGAATTTGTTAGTAAATGTAATGAAAATCTGATCATGACCTAAAAGGTAGTAGAACACTGACTTGTCCTCTCAAACAGAGAATGTGTAATCACACCAGCAGTGATTCCTATCTTATTTCTCATGCTATTTCATGATACACTAAAAGTTTAAAAGCTTTAATTTTGCAACTGCTCAAATTCTTGAACCTAAAAATTTAGAAAAATTATTTCTTCTGTTACAACCTTTATAAAAATATTATCTTAACATCTGCCATGAAAATTGACATATGTCTCTTTTGCTTCTAGACTATATTGGACATCCAAGTAGAAATGTACAGGTATCGTATTTAGTACTGAATATTGCGAAAAATAAGGCTTGCCCACAGATGTCAGCCAGATACCTTATTAGACACCTGTTTCCAAAGGAAGCCCTGCTAACAAGTAGCATCTATGGAAATCTGTGGCATGGCCTATGTGCCCTTAACTCCAATAGGATTAACGCTATTCGAGGTTGGTACATGTGAAGAATGTAAAAATAAATAAATGCCAATTTTATAGAAAGAGGAGCACAAAAAAATCCATTCAGTCTGTGTGTGTTCTGAGGAAAGAGCTCTTACATATCCCTTATTACGACATAACAATGAGCAGGTTCATGTATGGTATTTCTTTTTTCATTTGGGTTCTCAGGGTTAATTTCACTGTCTTGAATGGCCTTATTAGAACAGGAAAGACATTATTGACTGTGATTCTCTGGTATGGACTGCCAGTAGTTTGGAAACTCAAACACCTTTATTTACTGAGGATCAAGCTCAAAGCTGTTGGGCTTTGTCAATTTGTAGACATGTCAACAATAGCACAGCAGACTAATTTGCCAGTTTTTTCTTATACATATGCGCATGGTACAGTCTTTATCTGTGATATATATAGATGAAGAAATAAAGCTGCCAAAAGCAATTCTGTGAAGTATTAGATTGGGACTAAGAAGGAAGCAGAGTATTTTTTACTTGTGTCCCTGGTACCCAGCAGACCTAGTTCTGAGCCCCATCCAGCCTGATCTCAGTTGGTTCCCACCTTGACATCACACATTTCATATCCAACAGATTTGAACAACACTCATGTTTCAGGCTAAAGTAAGGAAATCTGGCTTTTAGCACCTTTCATAAGCATTTGCAAGCATCTAATCCAATTTTTTAAAACTTTTTTTTACTGCAATCCATAGTAGGAAATACATTTTACATTGTAACTCAGTATATGTGTGTGATTAAAAAAAAAAAAAAAAAGGAAGTAAAATTTTCACAAACAGTACTTACTCTTTCTATGAGAGTTACCTTCTTTTTTTTGTATTCTATTACAGTTTTTGAAAGTGCTCCTATCACTGATTTCATGACCTAGTTATTGGTCACAATTTGCAATTTGAATACCACTAAGCTAATCCTCCAGGCAAAAAACAAACAAACAACAAAACCAAAACCCAACTCCTCTTTTACTTTATGGTAAAGACAAAGAACATAGTGTTTATAACCAAATTGGAAATTAAAGTGTTTATAGAAGAAATGGTGTCTTTCAAATTAAAAAAAAAAATTAAGTAAGGAGGAAAAGATGACATTTATAGTTCTTTAAATATCTGGACTAGGTTAATTCCTTAAAAGTGGACCAAAATATTATTCTATATATTTCATTTTGTTTTATCTCTTTTTGAATTATATTAAAAATCAAGATGTCTTTTGTAGTAAAAAACTATTCAGCATGAGTTTGACATACTATCCACATAGGGTATATTTTAACAAATTTCCCATAAGACTCAAAGTTCTACTCCTTTGAAGAAAGGTAGCCATGTAAGTTATTTCAGCAAAGAAAATACAGTAAAATCATTGTCCTGGGGGACATAGCCAGGCCACAAGAAGGAAAAGCTGACAAGAAAGTATATTTTACTTTAATATAAGGACAAAATAAACTTGGAGAACAAAAGGAGTTAGAGCAAAGTCTGAGTGAGATTCCTTTACTCACAGGAGGACTGAACTTTATGATCTCTACCATATTTTTAGAAGTATCAGTTCAGTATAAACTACTTAAAACATATATAAATGTACAGAAAATAATATAGTAAAATAAACACCTGTCTACCCAGTACAGATACAGACATTTTGCCTTTCGTGCTCTAGTTTTTAAAAATAATAAAATATTACTGATATTATTAAGACTCCATCCCATCATTTCTTTTCCCTGTCGTTCTCCCAAGAAATCATCACAGTCTTAGAGTTGGGGACCTATCACCCTAATGTATATTTTATACTTTTGCTATCTATGTTGATAGATACATAAATAATGTGATATTGTTTAATAGTTGTCTTAATGTACATGAGTGGGGATGTACAGTACATAACCTTCTGCAAATTTTTTCACTTGACATTATGTTTCAGAGATACACTTCATGTATCTTAATTGCTGATTGGGGTCCTGTTGAGTGAATAAACTAGTTTATTCTTCTATTAATATAATTTGTAATCCTAAGATTTTAATTTTTGGGGGACCCCTTCTGAAAATTAGTAGTCAAGGGTTAATATGTCCAGTAGCCAAAATTATTGATTTCATATAAGAAACTATTATTTGATGCTTTCTGATAAGAGTTCAGTATCGTTTAAGGACTCTTTAGAGAATGATTTAGATGGAGAAAGTTAGTAGGCTGCAGATTTGCAACCAGTGAACAACCTTTACTCCTATACTTTCCCATCCATTGTTTCATATTACAGAACTGTAAAATCTTAGCAATAGGAAGTATATTACAGGTCCTCTAATACAACTTCTTATCCAGAGCAGGAATTCCAATCTCAGCTTTGATATATAGTCACCTTTCCTTGGCTTGAACACTTCCATTGATGGCAGTCCACTATATTTAAAAAAAAAATTAATTTAGTCTCTTGCCTTTTAAAAGGGCTCTAATTCATGAAAAATTCTTCCTCCAAGTGACTCACAATTTATCTCCCTTCCAGTGAAACATATTTGTTGTTCTTATCTCTTCCAGAGCTAATTAGGGTAGAGCCAATCACTTTTCACATGATAGACCTTCAAGTATGTAAAGACAGCCATTACTTCAAGCTAGATCATCAGGAAGTAATAAATACAGCATCTACTCCTTTCAAGTTCAGAACAAAGTGAGACCCAGTAGGGTCTGGCAAGTAGAGAAAAATGTCTCCTGGCCGGTGTGGCTGAGTAGATTGAGTGTTGACCCATGGATTGAGAGGTCCCAGTTCAACTCCTGGTCAGGGCACATGCCCAGGTTGCAGGCTTAATCTTCAGTAGGGGACATGCACGAGGCAGCTGATCGATATCTCTCTCTCACATTGATGTTTCTATCTCTCTCTCCCTCTCTCTCTAAAAAAGCAGTAAAAACATATTTTATTATTTTTTTAATATTGGCTTTATTTTTTTTTTATCATACATGCCCAGTTTTTTCCAAACGTGCTAATGTTGGGATCCCTCCACATGAAAGCATGAGGATTAGAGAATATTCCCAACTTTTCCCTGGCAAGTCTTACACTTTTACAGTTAAATAGTTCCATTTTCTTCAGTAATTCCTCATATAAATGTTTTCCTAATCTTTCACAATCTGATTCAGTGACTAATTTCAGATGTACTCAAGTTAACCCAGACTTTTCAGTGGGGACTATCTCGGGAGTGTAGCTTTTCTCATTTGCACAACTAGAAGCAAACCCCAGGAAACTTTTTTTATGACTAATGTTTCAGCAAACAAACACATTTTGGGAAACACCAACCAATTCAGACTCGCAGCCTGTTGGAAGCTTTGCAGGCACTGTATTAGCCTTCCAGTCTATTATCTGTCCTCACTTTGCTGTCATGGGCAAATGGGAGAAACCTGCTTTCCATAATTTCTTTTTTGTTAATAAAAAGGTTCAGCATGATAAAGCCTAATACCAATCCAGTGGCATACCACTAAAAGCCTCCTTCCAGGCTACCACTGATCTATTAATTAGTCCTTTGAGTATGAAAGCTTTTCTGCTGTTGTTAATCCTCATTGGAGGATACCTTTCCATTGATTTTTAGATAGAGTAGAAAGGAAGGAGGGAGAGAGAGAGAAAAACATCAATGTGAGAGAGACAAATCCACTGGTTGCCTCCCACATGACCCTGACGGAAGCTGGGGATCAAACCCACAACCCAGGCCCGTGCCCTTTACAGGGAATCAAAGTAAATACCCTTTGGTTCACGGGCCAATGCTCTGACTGCTGAGCAAAACCAGCCAGGGCAAGTATGAAAGCTTTTTAACTTTGTTGGCTAGACTCTGTGTTTGTAGCATTGTCCTGATTTCCCAGCCTATTAACAAACAAAAAATTAATGAGATTAATGTAGCACCAGATCCTTTTCTAAGGGCTTAATGGTGCTTAGGAAGTGACCTAAAAATGTATCTGAGGGCAGCTTTGCTCTTGGATTAACATCTTTCTTGCTTACCTTGCCCTTTGTCTGTCCTACCACTTTCTCTGAGAGTGCTCCTTGAGCTGTGCTGCTCCATCACCTTCCCTGTAGAAGCTATGAAACTTTTCCTCTAACTGCAAAATCTAAACGCTCTCATTTTTTTTGTCTGTCATAAACCAAGCAGCACCACCAAATTTAACAGTTATAGCTTTTCGCCTCTAAAGGTATAAAAGACACTGTACCCTCTTGTGTGTTGTGAAACCTTAGCATCTCTCCATTTGATATAACGAATAAAATTCATGTTTGATAAATTTAAGAATAAGAAAAGTTTAAACTGGGTACTGAAGGCAGCAAAGGATTTCCATGCTGGTTATGTAGCAAGATCATGGGATGTTGTTGTTCTATTGTAATTTAAGAATGGTGCTATTTCATATTATTATCCTCTTAGATGAAAATACTAAGCTAATTTAATAATAGTTATAGTCCATATGTTTTAGTTAATTTATCTGAGAAGTGATTACTTAATAACTTATATTTGGGGATTTTACCACCAGAGTTTCTCCAAGATACCTACCCGGCTTGTGATCTATCAGAAAATGGACGTGACTGGAAGTTGTGTGTGACTGCTATGGATTGCTATATCCATACTCTTAGAGAGAATGCAGGAATTTAACATCCGAATCACCACCATCCCCAGCAATGACCTTTACAGTGAAGTCGGAGTCATCGGATACTGACTGACTTAAATGATTAAAGTACTTGAATGTCAGCTATGTTACTTTCATTTATTTTTTTACTGTTACGTTATCCTAAAGTTTCTCAAGCTATAATTTTAAAATTAGCTTGTTGTGGTAGCAATGTATTTCTGCATTCATATCTGAAGAAATAGCCAATATTCTTTTTATGCCCACATAGAAAGGGGAATTGCAGAGGAAGATATGTAATGTTTTATCTCATTAACAAAGTGATGGGCAGGATTGTAATAAGAACCTCTGATTAAGGGAATGTTAGTAAAATCCTAAAGGTTGTTTTCATTGCTGTTTTAATGTAAAATAAAAATAGCACATTTAGCTCTTAATGATACATAAATTCTGAGTGTCAGCGATGCAGATATAGGAGGTAATGAGGTAGAGAGCCATAGCTGGATAGGCAAACCACAATGCTGAATTTAGGAATTTGTAGGTAGTAGAGACTTAGTATTTGTCAAGTGAATTGTCACTACAGAGCTTAGGTCTAATTCAGAAGGGAGGTATGGTTCACATATAACCCAAACACCTATGCTGATTTTTTCCTACACCCATCAGTAGGGGATTCATAGAATTGACATTATATTGTTTGACCTAAGCTTTCTGGAGATGAGAGCTATGTTCTTTAGATTTACTCCTGATGAGAACAGCATTCTTTAAATTACCTCCCAATAATATCTTATCACACAAGTTTAGTAAGAATCAACTTAGAAAACTTATCAGGAGACTTTTTTGTTCCATCAAAGTAATTTGAATTTAAGAAAACATCACTATGAATAAAAAGAATCTGACTAGATTTAGATACTAATTTGGGGGGGGGTTGGAAATGTTTGGGTGAAGGTTTAATGTGTTTTTCTGATTTATTCCACTAGGCAAAATGCATACAGATTTAAATTTTACAATGTTTAAATAAAAAAAATTGATCAGAAATTAAGTTAGGAAAAAAGTGATCTTAAAGGGTATTAGCAGGATTATTGAAGAATTAAAATATAGTTCTATTTTGCTCATGAATAGATTTTTATTTTCAAAGTTCTTGAGTGTTTATTCTATTTTATTTTAAGCACTTTAAAATTATTGAATGTTTCAATTTTAGGAAATACTATATAATTTCATTGTTTGGTCATTTGCATTTAAGAAACTTTTTGTCAGTTATAAGGCCATCTTTCAGTTTTCAACTTATTGAACAGTCCTCAGTTACATTCATTTTATAGCATTCTTAGTTATTGTTCAAAAAGCACATTTTTTCAGTCTTCATTTATGGCCATTTGCTTGTGATCCATGGCTTTGTCACAGATAATTGACTTCAGTTTTTTGATAAGGCAAAGAAATTCAATAGAAAGTAATAAGTAGGGCAGTCAAACAATATGTTGAGTGAAAGTTGACAAGTCTTTTTATCTTTGTGACCTGTGAGATAGCATAAGATGGTTTTATATCATCAGTTTATAGAATAGACACATATTTTCATGTTTTAAAAATTCAACTTTTAGAGTATTTTAGTGAAATATAGTATAGATTTAATTTTTAAGGCTATTCAGCAAATAAATAATTTGCTGTTTGTGGCATTTAGCTTAATGAAACTATAACATTTCTATGTGTATCTTTGTTTAGTCTGTGCCTATAATGGTGTTAGAGAGTAGATAATTTAAGCCAAAAATCTTCCATTGATGATAAAAGAATTTTGACCAGAGTTATTCAGATTGCTTCATCTAAGGTAGTCTTTGGTTTCACCATCCAGTTGTACAAATAATTTTACAAACTGCTGGTAATACAGCTAATGTGGAAAAATAAAATTATATCCTAGACAAGAGTAAATTTCAAATTGTATATGCAGATTTCAAATTTGATTTGTATTTTATGGTATTTGACATATTCCCTGGATTAGAAACAAAATTACAAAAGCAAAATCTTCAAATTTACAAAAATTTTTCAAGATTTATATGGTTAACTTTATTGTGATGGTAACGAGACCATTTCTGTTCAACTGAACTTTCCATTATGTTGTTAATGTTCTATAATTTTAGGTTGTCCAATAGTCATGGCTCTTGAGCACTTGAGATGTGGTTAATTAGACAAAGGAACTAAATTTTTAAATTGTATCTCCTTTTAGCTAACAAAAATTTAAATTTAAATAGCTACATGTGGATAATAGCTACTGTATTGGATAGCACAGTTTAGAATGCCCTTTATTTTTTTAAGTGTTTAAAATGGTCCCCATGGTTTGAATCATAATAATATACACATAACTTCTTTAAAATCACACTGATTGAACAAAATAAATTTCATAAAGGTGCTTCGTATTTTACTTTTTATTAAATGTATTGGGGTGACGTTGCTAATAAAATTATATGGGTTTCAAGTGTAAATTTCTATCATACACCATCTGTATACTGCATTTGACCACCCAAAGTCAAACCTCCTTTGGTCACCATGGTATTTTCTTCTTCTATTTTATTTTATACTAAATTAGACCTTTTCTGTTTTCAAAATTTCACAGGTTTATTATTTTATTGTATTAGTCCAATGTTAAACACTTTAAATGCCTGTTTATGAGACCTATTTTTGATAAATTTATCTTTAGTATATTGTTTTGTTTTCAAAATAAATAAAACAAGTTAAAATTTAAAATGTTCTTATACAACAGATGCTTGGGTTTTTTTAATTAAATACTTTTATAGAACTTTTACTAATGTCATCTACAGTGTTGTTTTTTCTTTAATGAATGATAACATATTTTTCAGCCATATTCATAACTGTGGTACAGTTAGAATGTTTGCTTTCTTGCTTGATAAGCAAAACAATAGTTTAACCCAGTAACAACAATTTACTATTATGAATGTAATTGTAGGTTATTGACAACTTTGGAAGTGTTTTGTCCTTCCTGGGTAAAATGTATGTTACTAAAGCATAATATTCTATACTTCAATATTTGTTTAAGTATATAGTAATATTTTCATTTTGGCCAGCAAGGCTCTGGTTTTCACTTTCTCTAAAGTCCATATCCACATCTAGTAGGGTACAGTAGTCCCTCCTTCTCCTCAGGAGCATGTTCTAAAAACCCAGTGGTTAAATAAAAAGGAAAAGAAAAAAAGAAAAAAAAAAAAACCCAGTGGTTGCCTGAAACTGAAAATAGTACCCACCGATCTCTCTCTCTCTCTCTATATATATATAGATAGATAGATAGATAGATAGATATAGATATAGATATATAAAAGATATATCTATATAGATATATAAAAGATATATATCTATATAGATCTCTCTCTATATATAGATATAGATATATAAAAGATATATCTATATAGATATATATAATATATATATATAAAAGATATATCTAATCTTTTATTTTCCTATACATATATACCTGTGATAAAGTTTACATTACTCTTGCACTTTGGGACCATTATTAAGTAAAATAAGGGTTACTTGAACACAAGCACTGGATACTGCAGTAGTTGATCTAATAACTGATAACCAATTACTAGGTGACTAATGGGTGGGTCAAGTATATCGCATGCTGGACAAAGGGAATGATTCATGTCCTAGGACGGACAGAACAGGACAGTATAAGATTTTATCAAGATACTCAGAATGGCACACAATTTAGAATTTATGAAGTGTTTATTTCTGGAATTTTTCATTTAATATTTTCAGACCTCTGTTGATCATAGGTAACTGAAGCTGTGGAAAGCAAACCCCAAATAAGGTGGGTGCTGCTATAATATTTCTGCAGCATTCTGCAACAGTGGCAATGTGTGGTTGCATTCACTCTTGTCACCCCTTCTTCCTTCACCCTAATTAATTTTAACTCAATAAATTACATTTGCAATGACTTTTTTCACCATGATAAAAAAAAACTGCTCACTCACTTTGAGACAGAATAATTGCTATTGTCAAATAATTAGTAAAATTAATTTGAAAGATTGATGGGTGATAGGTACAAATGTCAGTACACCAACATAGGTGGGCAAGAAATATTTATTTTTCTATAGCAACATAATTTCTATGTTGATTACACAGCTTCCTGGTGGTCTCACCAGCCCTTCTGGTCTTATGGGCCTGGGAGTCCCAGTAGAGGCAGCTATGTTTCAGCCCATTTGCTTTTGTGGGACAGGATGGGGGTATTCCATGCAAATCTCATTTTTTTCAAGCTGGCTTTCCGGTCTGGAGGGACTGAGAGCTATGCTCAGCCTTGCCTAGGTTGATTCCCATGCCTGAATGAAGCAAGGGAACCCTCCACGCCCAGTACTGGCTTTGCTCTTGGGCAGCAGCTCCGCCCACTTAGCTCCAGCCAGGCTTCCGGTGTTCCTAGCAGCCCCTCAGGCCATGGACCTGGGAATCCCTCTCCTCAGTGGTGGGCTGTGACTGGGCTCCTTTCCTGGATGTGGGCAAACCAGGCCCTGAGACCGGTAAAACTCCTTGTTTGAGGACCTTAATCAGACCTGCACCCGAAAGAGTTCCCTAGTCAAAGTGAGCCCTGACAAGCTTCTGCAGATGAGCAAAGTGGCTGGTTGGGATTACTAATTTGGCGTTGCAGGTAGGAACTAATTTAGACAAGATCCGAGTGCTGGTTGTTGTGAACCCCTCCGATTCTCGGTCTTAGTCAGATCCCCAGTGATTGAGGTTGCAGATTCCCCTGTAGTCCCCCCTGGGAAGAGATTAGAGTAAGAGGTTCTATGAAACGCCCACAGTGCTTGGGGCTCTGGCTGTCTCTTGGGCTTTCCTCCTGCTGGAGGAACCAGAGGCTGGGGAGACCTCTCCACATGGTGCTCTGATGGCCTGGGAGTAGGCAATGTGGTCAGTCTGTAGGGGCTTCTCCTACCCTCCTAAAATGGTCTGTGTTGGTCTCTGTTGGCAGGATGCTTCAGCCTCACCTTGTGTCGTAGGATTCTCCCAGTGGTGTCTACTTCATGAGTTGTTAGTTGTT